TGACATAGTATATCAAAAAGCCAACTTTCTACACAGATTTGCCTATATCTAATTACATGAGCGGCGCAATACATTAGGAATATACGAGTAAAGTTTTGGATATTAGATAATTACTGCATTTACAAAGTTTGTCAACAAGAGATTTGTCTCTATGTTGAGATTGAATGTCTTCCTCCATCTCTGTTTCAAATTATATTTAAAAACTTCGAAAAAAAACTCCGTTCTTAGAAGGCAACTCAAGATCAAAAGTTGTTGTGAATTCGATTGATTCAAATAATCTAGAGTTCTATTGTATCAATCATTACAAATTACTTTGAGCAGCTCTCTCGAAAAGCATCTTTAATAGTTTTAAAGTTAGAAAATCATTCAATTATGTTTTTCATCACTTGATCATCATGACTATTCATATATGGTGTAGATGTAAGATATTCAAGAGAGAAACAGTATATTTCAAAATTTCAAAAAATTTGAGGTGACTGTTTAAAACCTCAATGGGTTTCTGAATTAAAGACGATTAGGTCGTTTCGACGACTTTTAACTTCGTCTATTTTATTATATTCTCTTTAAAAATGTCCTTAACATCTTGTACATTTATATAACTATGAGACGAGAAGAGATAATGAAATAAGAGAGAAAGAAATAGAAAAATATCAAGAGGCAGGCTGAGGATGAATCATTGCTAACCAAGACTTATATTCTTCAAGACACTGCTAAAGATAACAAAAGACTTCAAGAAACTTTCTGGAGAATTCATAGAACCTCACATGAACAAGAGTGTGGACGTAGGACTAGGTATTTCTAAATCTTCAGGTAGTAGGACACTCACACTTCCCCTCCGTAAATGCACACACTCATTTCTACATTTACATCTGCAGTCACACCAACATTCCATCCATAATATTAAATCCGATTGTTCTAACATATGAACAGTTACCGGTAATTTTCTAAAAAGTTTTCTGTTATTTATTGTAGTGTGGGTGTGAGTCTCGGAATTAATATTCTCTTCATGAGATATGTTTTTCTATTTTTTTGTATTCGATAACTAAGATACCTTACATATTTTTCAGATGACTAGAATCTTGTCATGACCAACGGCCGTGATACACTTTAGAACGGGATATTCTTAAAGATATATATGGTGCGCTTTTTTTGCCTCAGTCAGTTGTTTTTTTCCCTTGTGGCTCATTGTATTTATATTTGAAATCAAGGAGATGATACACCAATACAAAGAGTAATTAGAGAACAACTAACAAGCTTGTTGCGTTATGTTCTGCGGTAACAAATTTTTTTGTTCCCGTTTCTGTGGTAATTTCCAAGTTTCTCTCATTATTTAGTTTTTTATGTTTAAAAAATAAAACTATCGTTGAAAGTATATTTTAATAACATGAATCAATCATTATTTATACGTCAAAATTTACCAACATTAAGTTAAGAGAATTATTTTTTTTATCAATTGAACAATGTGGAAAGACAAAAAAAAGGCTCGCAAATCCTCAATAACGACGAAAAAACTCAAGAAAGAGTAATAACAATGCCATGTCGCGAGATAATCTGAAAAATACTCCTTTTCAAAGTGATAAATACAAGGAAAATAATAGATGTTATAATTGAATTACATGCTAATGAATAATGAATGAACTTCTCCAATATTTGTTGATAGGTACTTTGTACTCGTTTTTTAATTAATAAGCAATGTAAATGTCTTTCGAGAAATGTCAAAATCTATTTCTCAACAATGTAACATTATATTGACTTCAACATTTTTTTTCCAAAAAGAGCAAAGTTCGGAGCGTACATATGTACAATAAAGCAAAACGATTTCCGGAAATGCTCATTATTAATACATGCATTCATAGTTCCTATCGATTGAGACATATTCAAACAAATGAGTAGCGCTCTATGCAGACGTTAAGACAGTTTTTTTTTATCATTCTTCTCCTATTTATTATTCGGACAGAGATAAAAATGTAGTGTGATAAAAAGTAAGCAGAAAGAAAAAAGAAAAGAAAGAAAACCTTGATTTTCTTTTTCTTTTTCTTTCTACCTGTCTGTTACAAAGGTTTGTTATATTTTCGCCTTTTGAATTTTTCAGCTCGTTGACACATCAAACTGAAATTATTCAAGAAGAGAAAAAAAAATGATTTTCGAATCGTTGGCAAATGAGCTACTGCTTGATTTATTCGAATTTCTTTCCACTGCTCATCTTCTTCAGTCATTCTATGGACTTAATCATCGCTTTGATACGCTCCTTCTTGATCACTTTTGTGTTCGTGGGCTTGATTTGCGATTGGTGTCAAAACGTGACTTTGATACTCTTTGTCAACAATACCTCTCGTCGATGGCCAATCGAATCACTACACTTTATCTCTCAGATGGCGAGAATTTACAACAGACAGTACGTTTTGTCGCTCAAGATTTTACTCTTCATCAATTTACTCATTTACGAATACTTAACTTGTATGATTTAATTTCTGTCACTACAATAAACAAACTGATCTTAGATTGTTGCCATCTATCTCATCTCACTTACCTTAGACTGGATAATTGTTACTTTTCATGTCATCAGACTGATGTAGTTAACATTGTAAACATTATTTGGAGTCTACCGAAACTGGTCTACTGTTATTTGGACATTGATTCTCGTGATGACATTGAATTTTTTGTACCAAAAATAATTTCTTCATCGCTTGAATATTTAATCATCCCAAGTATCAATTGTCATTTGAATGAATTAGCTCATCTGATCGAATACACACCATATCTTCGATATCTTTCTGCATGTTTCACATACGATTCTGACGGTAGAACTTATCCGTCAATCGTTTCATTGATAAGCCACTTCGATACATGGCTTGTTGCTGTAGAGAAAAATGAAATAGTAAATATTTTAGTACATATGCCTAATTTATGTAGTTTGACAGTTCAAACAATTAACGATAGTTCTGTTGATGGACATCAATGGGAACAAATTATTCGAAATCACTTAATCAAACTCAAACGATTTCGACTCAAATTAGCAAGAAAACTTGTGAACGATAGGAATTGGCAACAACATCTCGATGAACTTATTGATTCATTTCGAAGTCGATTTTGGCTTGAGGAACGTCGTTGGTTTGTTCAATGTGATTGGGATCCAGATGTTGCCGCAATTTATTTATACACTTTGCCGTATGCTTTTGATCGTTTTACAGGACATTTTCCTCTTATGTTCAAATCGACTTGTCCGCATAATAAATGTCATTGTTCCTATGATCGTGTACATCGACTTAAATATATATCTTCTCCATCTGAAGACTTAAACCAGTCCCATATTAGCTTTTCTAACGTTCAAGATCTTACTATTTATTTTCCTATCAATAATCATTTGTGGATGATCGTTCCAAGATTTCATCAATTAACCTCACTTTGTGTGGCATGGTATAATTATGATCAAGATTTTCCAAGTCAATTACAATTGCTGCTTGATCGAGCACCTCGTCTCCATTCCTTAAGCGTTGAAACATGGCGATCATACCCTACACAAATCGCACCATTCGAAATTACGCATGCTTCGATTCGAAGACTCGATTTTTACAACTATCATTACCATTATAACAATGAAGACTGCAGAATATTGAGCGGTTCGCCATTAGGGATACAGTGTGAAATACTTCGTATCTCAGTCGAAAATCGAACATGTGTAGTGGATCTTGTTAACAAAATGTCTAACCTTCATCAGTTGATAGTTCAGTGCCGAGACGATACGCATACAGAACAGTCAATAGTGAGTCCAGATGAACTTGTTGAATGGTTGCAACATGAGTTGCCATCGACATGTGCAATAACAAGAAACATTCGTTTATCAAGTGAAATTAACTTGTGGATTGGTTAATGAAGAAGCAAATGTGCCTAGTGATCTGTTATAGGAGAAAATCATCATAGCAATGCAAAGTATGAAATAGGCATATATTTATAAAAGTTTTAAAAAGACACTGTAGCTAAGCGTGTCGATGAAATTAGAACTCACATCGATCCACGCCCTATTCTCAAGTATTTTATTGATAAAATAGAGACAATTCATTGTGACGCAATAGAAAGTTTCTATTAAGCACATACTTTTTAATGTTTTTGTAATGAAACTCAGCAGCAACAGCATTCATCAAAATAGAATTGAAGACTTTTGTCATGTAGTTGGATGGGTGTGAGTGAATTCGGATTTTCTCTTCTTCAACACTCATCCATCTCTGCAGACACAATAGCGGCTTAAAATAAGATCTCTCACATAAATGGAAAGTTTCGACAAAAACGCTGTACATCAGCTGAGAATCTTTTCTTGTCAGTATTGTTGGTGATACTTTTGATAAGTGAAGCCAAAACTCCAAATAATCTTGAATAAATGTTGAACAAGACATAATTCTTCATTTGAACATACTCAAATACGAATATCAATACGTATTATTTGAAAGTGCAAAATAATTGTATATATGTATAATATACGAGTTAAGAAAGTTTTATATTATTGTTATAAAAAATGACATAGATAAGAAAAGAATAAATTAATGTTGACGAATAGCTGAATTCAAAATGCGATTTTTACATTCTTCTAGTTTCAAGTCTTCATATTCTAGTATTTTAGTTAGATTTATCAATTTAAAATTGCCGGCTACACCAGTCACAATAGAACATGGAGCATCATTATAAAATTCCTGCCATAGAGCTACTGATTCCTGTGTCCATTTACGTCTCTTTAACTATTCTCCAAGTTTTTTGTAGTCAAATGTTGATCTTTAGACAAGAATATTGGGGAAAAAAGGAAGTAATTTGAAAAGAAAAAAACTTCTAGACTTACTTAGAACTATTCATTACTTTTTTCCATGCTTCTTGAGAATTGAACGACAAACAAGTGTAAAAGTTTTTCAAACGAGAATAATAAAGAAAGTAATGTAGACACATTTCATCTTTCTTTCTTTCACTACCCTCAATATAGTTATATTTATAAAAACGAACTCTTTTTTACTCGATTATTTTACTAAAGTTATATCAATTTTGTTTGTTGTACTATAAATACATCGAGTAGCCAATTCATCGCCCTATGACAAATATATAATATACAAGAAAAAAGATTATAGAATAGAAAAAAAATCTTATACTGGATACAATTCAATTGGTTTTTGGTAAAAGATTTTTAAATTGATAACTGAAATTATATGCTTCAGCATGAAACAAATATTCAATTACTTTTTTTTTCGAATTAGCTTTGTCCATATACTTAGACCTTTGTATAAAAATAATTCCATGTATATATAGAAGTTTTGGCTTTACCTTGTCCATGTGTGTGGAAATACAGCAAGAACTTTTATAACCGGTTCAGAAAAATTCTATAATAAAGATGAGTTTACTTTCTAAATAGAAACAACCTTCTTCTTACTTGTGTTGGTTCAGCTGGATAATAAGAATCGAATATAAATCGATCAGCTTTTGGTGGAATAGCAACAGAAAAAGGAGTTTTATCTACACCAAGTGTAAGATAACCAAATTCATATTGACGCAGTTCTTTTTTAAGATAAAATCTGACACCTGAATTATTAAGATTATCATAATGCATTTGAAGCATATAATATTTTATCTCAAAATCACCACCTATTGGATATCCACCAATCTCTAAATATTCTACTATCTATGAAGACGAAATTTTTCTATGAATAGATATTTAAGTTAGAAAATTTACTTCCTCATCAACAACCCATATAGTAGCGATACTTGAAAAGCATGGAAAAATACTTTCCGTAATTTCATCATATATACCATGTGGTAAATTGTTATCATCGAATACAGCTGTAGGCTTACATTCTGACAACACTAAATGATGAACAATATCTCGATTATCTGGATCAATCAGTGTTTTATCGTTCCTATGAGTATTTCAATAAATATTGTATATATATAGAAAACATATCGACATTTTGTATTATATTTGAAAACGAACTTGACCTCTTGATGGATCCATCCAAGTCCAATATCGGCATCTTTCATTCCACCGGCTTTATGTGACAAACATCAAAAGTTTAAGATAAAGAAAAACTTATTTTGACAAATGATGTACCTGGACTAATACTCAAAGCAATCCATCCTATTGTTTTGATATGTAATTCAAAAGTAATTTCTTACTAAGTTTTCATCTACTGTCCACCAAAGATCAGCTACGTTAGGCTGAAGTTCAGTTGAATATTGATAGTTTGTATATGATTGAAGAGAACTTAAAATTCCATTGCTTTGTTTAATTATCAATAATGATAGAATGATGGAAGAAACCATGTATAGTCGCTTCATTTGTTGTTATCAAAATAAATTTATTACTATCAAAAAAATATTTGTCTACTACCAGGCAAATTTCCTAGCTATCAAAGCTTATCAATATGGTGAGGACATTTATTTAATGATATAGAATATAATACGTATCATTGGATGATACAGTTCTTGTCCTTATTCAATTAGTGACCGAAGTGATATAGTGGCATGATATTTTTGTTCAAAGATAAATTATAGTATTGGTCATTTTTTAAAAGACATTAGATATCCTAGTTAACGATGCGCTGGACCAGAAACAATGTGGTTCCATACATCTCTCTCGTCAACTAGAGAAATCAAACAAACGAATATTGAAGCTTTATTTTAGATTTGACACCAATAAATTTTAAAAAACGCCCACATCCCACATAATTATTGTAAGTTTTGTTCTCCTTTTTTGTTTAATCTAATTTTTAACTCTTTAAAACTTGAAAAATATCTTGCTCGTTTTTAGTCCTTTAATATTTTTTTCGATAGATCTTTTGTTATAAGTCATTCCTTAAATGACCTTTCAAAATATGTACAGAAAAAATTTCAAATCAAGAAAAAAATTGTACATGTAGCAAAACGAAAATTTTATAATGTGCAATGTTTTCTGTTTGGTTAGACCAAAACAATGCTCACGTAATTCAGTTCACAAGATAAAGTCTTATTGATTATCTGCTTAATAGTTCATGAGAAGTCTCAAATAAATTTTCAGTGCAACTACTTGTTGACTCTTGCAACTGATGTCGTCTTAAATAGATTTATCGTTCTTAATAATAAAAAAATCCTGTTAGTTGCTTTGGATTGACTGAACATTATATTCTTACACTTTTATTACTATTCTAACACGAGTACTCATATCTTATATAAATACATTCAGTTCAAGAGCATGTCCTGTTTATACATAAATTAATTTTCGTCGATGTTGACAATTTATAAAACATCCTTTATATATTGAAATATGGTCCGTTTCAACGATTTTTTTATAGGACTCGTTACTTTTTTTCTAGGATAGTCATATATGATTGAACATTTTAGCCGAAACAGAGGCCCACCCATTATTCGGTCGTTATTAATCAGTTAATGAAAATATCTTCTACAAGCATTCATTTTCCTTTTTCTCTTCAGATTTTAATAAGTCTTCAGGAAGAACTAAAATATTATATTGGTTTAATTCTGTTAGTTTTTTCAAAGACACAAATGTAAACTTTGTATATACGGTGTGATAACCTTTACAGACAAATCTGATTATTCCTTTCAACCGCTGACCCAAACCTAAATATGATCTTTAGAAAAGTTCAACTGAGATAACACAATTTCGATGTTGTCTATATACTTCGATTCAAAAAATAAAATAGTTTTGTTCTCACTAAGTTTTATCGAACAAAAAAAGGCATATGCATAAAATATTTTTCAACCACTTTGAGCCAATTACGACTTTGATAAACTCAATTGAAAAACCGAAAGCGTAACAATGCATTTAATTTCTAGAACCAAAACAAGACGCTAAAGAAAGTAGATTTTTACGATTTTATTTTCATTAAAAGTTCGACGCATTTTTACAACTTATCTCTTATTGTTTACCTGTTTCGATGATTGTTTGGTTTTATCTATTACAAAAATTCTCTAATATTTATTTTATTATCATCTAAAACAATTGAATACATCAACACTACATGTAGGATGTGGAGTGTGAGTCTTCAGTTCAATAGCATCCACATGCCACATCAGACATCCTCACCCAGACTCACATTCACCCATATCCATACCCTTTCATATTCTAAAATTCTAAAAGCAAGAGTTACAAGGAATCATGACAGGCTCCTGAATATAACTTGAGCATATCGTTGACACTGAAGACTCTCAAAAATCTTTCCAGAATATCTCAAGAAATTACCATAAGTCCGATAAGAGTATGTTCTGTAGTTATTCAAAAACCTATTCTAGTAATTTTTATTTTGACTACTGTATTAGGAAGATGATGATTTATTCAAATGAGGAGCGATAAACAAAAAAACAAGCTTCAAAATGATGTGTCTCCTACAAATAATTCAGTTTTCTTCCAACAGATAACAGTATACTGAAAATAAGACCCATGCTCAATTGCCTTCATCCCAGTTGGCCTCTCCGAAGTATATGAGGCCCCACTCTCTAGCGATTTTTTTTAAGAAGTCTATGTAGGGGTACATATGTTTGGCCAATCTGGAAAGTTGTTGGAAATAGTCTTCGATGCCACCTGGTGAGAAAAAGAACTGAAGACGAGCTGGCTTGCTGCCTGTTTTATTCTGATTGCGCCATGCATGCTGAATCCCGCGCGGAGCATAAACACAAGAACCCTGCGACATTGTCAAAGTTTTGTTGTATATATAGAACTGGATTTCACCTTCGAGCACGTAGAACACTTCATCTTCGAATTGATGTAGGTGCACAAGTGTGTCTTCAAATAAACTCTAGAGTAGTATGAATCTATCTATATTTAATGACTATACCTTCTCCAGGCATTATAATACCTTCCATAATCATATATTGACCATTGGTTTGCTTTGCTCCCAGCTTCATGTAATACGGATATTCGCGAAAGTAGAATGCTTCACCTTCATCTTGACTCAGTCCAATTGCATTTCCTCCAAATTCTATTACTTTTGCTCCTGCATACATGTGCTTCAGTCTCAGCATCGGTCTATCAACAACTGGCTCCATTAAGCGATCTAATCTTGGCCCATAATAGAAAGTCGATTCTAAAAAGTTTCATTTCGTTAAGAAAACATTTTTACACTGTACACTCACGGTTTTGTGTTACCACTGTCCAGATGAAATTCAATATAACTATCAGAAGAAATAGAGTTATCCATTGTGACATTGTGATGATTTATCTAAAATAAAAAAATAAGAATGATATTAATTTTGGACAATGACTTATAATTTCAGAGATAAGAGTTGTTTTCCTCGTTCTCTCTATGTGCCATATCGACATATGATTTTCTTGGATTGATTTATTTTATGAATCAATTTGAAATCGAAAAGAACATGCAACATTAGCGATAAGACTTTATGAGAATGTTAGGTTGCCATTTATTTTGCTTGACAATGTAAATATATCATGCTATTTGAGAATGATCAAACCATTCATAAACCATACGAAAAATAAAGACGATTAACATAGCAAAAGCAAGTTGGTATGTATTAGAGTTGCCACTTGAGGGAGTATAAGGTGGATTCCGAAAAAAATCGTTGACCATTATTGTAATATTACGATATACATCTGGTCCGTTACAGATCGTTGTGCGTGTATTGCAACTGTAGTCAAATGAAATCGCCGTATTGGCGGGTGCTGGTAGAGCTTTTTCAGTGTAAACGTGAAGACCTACCAAGGTACTTGGCCAACACCTATGTTGCTCTTGTGAGAATCCTAATATATAGTAACAACTAGTATTGCAAAGAGCAACAGTAGCATTATTATTGATCCGACACGTTAGATTCTTTGTAGAAAATTCGAATTCGCTTCTAGCTTGGGGATCATAGATGAGAGGTCGCACGTATTGACTGAGCTTATCATATTGATAGCCGAGTAATTGATCACCCATTTTTTGTGCAAACTTGCGAGAACAGTCATCTTGGTCAAAACATGAATCACGAACATAGGCATGTATTTCTGAAACGTTCCCATAGAATGTGACTTGTGTGTGATGATAGAAAAATTGGCCTGTCTCGTTTGAGTTTAAGCTCTCGTTAATTGCTTCTACCGACGAATCACCATCAAATGATACATGCAGCGTACCATTGACATTGAGCCAGAGACTTGTCGAACATTTGACAAACGTATCAGTATCTAGGCATTCTTGAGAAAGACGATTCAGTGAGTTACGCTTCATATTGTAAATTTTACATTCAACAGGGCATCGACGTCGGTTTGTCTGGCATGTTGAATTCAATACAAGCAAAAGAGACAATAATAACATTAGCAAGCATGATATTGTTGACATTTTAATACCAATCTGAAATGAAGAGAACTGGAATAAAAATTTCAACACAAGTTCATATCAATGTTTCTGGAATGAATAGAATCAATGTTGAAAATAACTTTCTTACGTTTTGATTGTATCTCTTATGAGACGAAAATACTTTCATAGACGAAAAAGTAAGGCATGAATAAAATTCAACAAACTCAAATGTAGTCCTTTATAAATCATGTTGTCATAGTAGGCAAATGCCAACAAAGTGATTCACTTCCGAGTAATAACATTATTTGCTAAGGTGACTTACGATACTTCGTTACAAGTGAAGTCATGAATCATAAAGAATTACACATTTTCAAAAAACGCAAGACAGAACGGTTTCAAATGTCCTCAAAACGTTAATCGAAAGTTTTTTGCGGAATTCTATTGGTTTATAATCATTTGTTTTTATGCTTCTCATATAACTAGTAAATCGTACTAAAAAGATTATTATCATCACAAGAAATTATTAACATCACGAACACAAAACAGTTTAAGTAAGCCTTCTCAATAAGCCACAAGAGAATGTTCATTATTTTTGAACAGAATGTACATAATCGAAATCGCTATTAGAGATCTATTTGTATTTACATTGGTCAAATAATCTACAGTGCCGATGACAACAAATGTATGTAAAGCAAGAAATGCATTTGAATGCATCGTAACGATGTAATCGGCAGTGAAAAAGTGGATTTAAGTGCATAATCAAAACTCATTAACACCAAAGAACGTATGCAGCAAGCGCATATGATTGTATATCTTCAATAGGAATCGGTCCAGCATATTCAAGTTAAGATTGCCAGCAGCAATAAATCTATTTAAAAGCAATAACGAAACATTTGCATTCAAACACATTTCATAGATAGTCTGAATTTGTCCAGAGGTCTCTTATTCAAGAAGCTTGTTCGAATATACGCAGAAGATGTAAAACCTGTTTTGAAAAATATACAATAAACGCAGTAACTTGCAACATAAACGCATCTACATGAGTCTAAAATGTGTTTAATCATTACGTAGATGTAAGAAGTTCAAACGAGATTATTCTCAAAAGATGATTAGACATCCCAGGTGATTCGATCCGACTGTCGGATTACGTCGGATTATATCGGATTATATCGGAAAAATTACCGGATTTTAACGGATCCGACGGGAACTCGTCGGAAGTTGTCGGCGTCCTAGCCACAGGATTCCGACAGGAGGTTCCGGATGTCGGAATAATCAGGATCCTGCGAAATCCCTGAAACTCCGACACTTTCCGACATCCAGAACCACTTGTCGGAATCCTGTGGTTAGGATTCCGACAAATTCCGGCGAATTTCTATCGGATTCGACAGGGTGAATTCGACCTGGGATGCACGAAACCTAAAATGTTTGCATTTGATGCAAATTTAATCATGCTTCAAGAATAGTCTCGTTGGGGATTTTAATAATAGGCAGTGTTATTGCATACATGTTTATATGGCATCTTACAGTTCCCATATTTCTAAATCTAGAACAACAAATATTCCTACTTGTAGACTCTGTCATCAATTTGAAATATGTAAAAAACTGAGCAAGTGTGTCGTAAAAGGACATTTTTCTTTCAGCTGAATAAGTAGCAGAATACTTGATCGGTCAAGTTGAGTTTGGTATCATTTTTCATGCTGTAATAAAAAGAAGAGAGAGATGAACTATTTTTCTCTTAGAAGTACTAGTTGAAATTGTATTCCTGAAGTGGTAAAGGTTTTATAAATGATCTTTAGCCGAAAATGCTAGAATAATTCGTATTAGTCTGTATGGGGCGATTCGAATCAGCTCAAAACGGTTTCCACTACTTTTATTAACACTTTTTTTTATGTATAGAATTTTTCTAAAATTCTTTTCTCAGTAGATTGAGGATACTTCACACTATTTATGATTCAAAAATTATCTCTTAATGATATAAAATGTTTGAGAACGAACATAAATAAAATGAATTTT